AGGGTCAGAGAAAACTACCTGTATGTCTACGATTTCCTAGACAGCATATAGGGACAACTCTCGGGTGACAGGCTCAAAAGATCAGTTTGGTAGCTGTCTTGTGTGTCCCATATATGTTTTGTTGTGGAATTTCATGTTGTTAAATGTGAGAAGGGCACGGGAGAACATTTCTCATCATTGCCACCTGATGATGACGTGGTCGCCGATAGAGGCGTGTGGTTGATGAGGTTTCATCACCGACATGTGGGTGTGTGTTAAATGCAGTGGGTGTGTTCACCTCTCTCGTCCGTGTGTAGGCAGGAGGTATGGCTACCTCTCCCATTTGTAGGCAGCGTGGACTATACTTGTAAGTATAGACAGAGTTCATCATTTCATGCATGTTACATCACTTGTGTTTGACAAGGGAGGAATGAGAGGTTGTGCGTATGGGTACGGGGATACTCCCTGTGTCCGTGTTGTTTTCCCAGATGTTGCCGCATCAAGTGGCAGCATGTGTCATGGACAGGTAGACGTGGAAGGACGGCGACAGGTGAACGGCAGCAGTAGTATGTTGTGCATGGTGGCATGTTGGGCTTGTGCAGAGGTGCAGTCCATCTTCGACCACACACAAAAAAGTTTGCTCGTACCTGTGGGGATTTTTTGAAGTCCTGGGTCAGCCAAGAGCAGCAGCAAGGAGCAAACGCAGTGCAGTATACTCTACAGCTTTACAGTCCGTCCTCCTCAAGTCCTATCGGAGATTATTCGTATTAAGGAGAAATACATACACGCACAGAAAGACTACCCATTCGAGATATATATATATACCCACAGTCGAACGGGATGTATGTGGTGGAGTCGTTTCAGTAAGTGGAGGAAAACCGGCTGGGTACTGGACTCATTTCGAGTCTTTATAAGTCTATACACTGATGATTTATCAGTGATGCCAGCTGGTGCTAAGCACAAAAACATCTGAATAGGTAAATTTGCATTTTACAATACATCCCCTGTAGTTCTCTACTGGGTCAACGACAAAATATCGGGGAGAATCCCTCCGTAGTGTCGTGTACTGTAAGATGTAACCTTCACAGGGGACACGGCGCAGTGTCTATTGACAGCTTGCTGGTTTTAGGAATTTAAGGAGAAATAAATAATAATATTGATGTAAAATCATGGAAGATGGAAAGAAGGTTACAGCAGTACATCACTCGTTTTTCAAACCTATAGATTTTTGAATTTCACGGGCAGTAGTAGGTGTTTTACGCCGTTTTTTTAGCAACTACCAAAAAAAAAAACTTATTTGATCCTTTGGGGTAGCGTATCAGTGATGCTTGCAGTAGAAGAGAATGGTACACCTGGTGCATGGTAGGTAGGGCATAGCGTTCAGTTTGTATCGTGTTAGCTGGTTTCCTGGTATGTTTGGTGTTGGTAATCAGCATCAGTAGAGCACGGAAAGTGTTCAAGTGATATACATCCAATGTGGCCATTGTTGTCAACTTCCCTGGTGTTCCTCAGAGCGGTTTGCTGAGACATCTTGTCGCAACCATGTCGTAATCCCGTTGAAGAGCACCCGTCATGAAGGTCAGCAGTAGCAGCGAGTGGCAGTTGGTCTCTCCGTGTGGAGCAGTGGTGTGGACATGTTACGGAGTACGGCGAAGGATACAACACGTAGAAATTACCCACCGGGATACACAGCGATCAGCAGAGAAGACGATGTGTGTGTGTAATCCGCGAGGTCAATATGGGAGAGCACCTTTGCACGAAACCCGATACAGCCTTCCCGCCTTGCCTCAAGTCCTACTTGATACCAAAATTGTATTCTGGCTTCTGTACGCCAAGAATCCCTGACATGCATGCGTGATTTCCTAAAGAAGACCTACCTGACGAAAATTATGTAGCTTAGTGCCTAAAAGATTCGCCTTGTTGTAATGGTGTGTTAACATATCTCTCATCAACTTAGCTGCCGCTCGCTCAAAATATTCAATACGTGTACAACGAACTGCAAATCTACACAACTGACTATGTAATACAGCATACTTCGAACGATGACTAGTTTTAGTCTCAATGTGGGGGAATCGGCGATACGACTTCAGAGAACTCATCGTGTCTCGTTTATCATACATTTGCACTTGAGAGCCTGCCAAGTCTTGGACTATTTCCATATCTAAAAAGTGCGCACTATGTCCTACTTGTTCCTGGGTCAACTCAATACTGTTAGGGATGAGATTGCCGTCTCCATCACTAATCAGTCGGTCATACATTCCTCCTAACGTTTCACTCATGCCTATGCCAAGTGGATCGTATCGCACAACGGCTGGATCATATCAAGCCGAAAAAATACGTATTCGGTTACGAAACCGTATTTTCTTGAAATATATGGAGGCGTTCCTCTTCGTTTCCGTAAAAAAGAGCGAAGAGCCGAAGAGCGAAGCGTATTTTTTCTGGGCTTGCTCCTTTTACGTTTCGGTGAAAAATTTTCCGCTTTTTTCGGCGACCGGAACAGACACCCGTCACGCGTGCTGTCTTCATCACACCACACCTAGGCAGCACCACCAACGCCCCAAACCGCTTCCCGAGGCAACTCCACTACCATGGCTGAGCGCCGGAAGCGCCAGCATCCCCAGGGGCCCGCAGCGCAACGCCGGGAGAAGCGCCGTCGAGGAGCTATCGACGAGGTCGGTGCAGCCCAGGAAAACAGGAGGCCTCTCACAGTCCTGGGGCTTCTGTAGTGGCGGCGGGCGTGGTGGCAGCAGGAGAAGCTCATCGTGCCCACTGCCCTCAGGAACGGGAGCCCATCTACGAGCCCAAGCGGCTTCCGCGGGCCCAACACGAGGCGGACCTCGATAAACGGCAAGGCTGGCGGCGGTCGTACCGCATGGAGAAGGCCAGCTTCCACAAGCTTGTCGGGCTACTCCGCCCTTCGCTGGCAGTCAACGCCTTCTTCGGCGGTGAGTGTTGATGTCTAAATGCAGCCCCCCACGGCAGGTATGCGTAAGGCTTCCTCTCATGTATACCTAGAGAACAACGGGGAAGAGCAAGTCTAAAACCCAGGAGAAACACTACTGCTGTAG